CCCTCCTCCTCCATTCTCTTCTCGGGATCTTGGGCACGTATGCACACGCGCCCAGCGTGAGTTTAAGCCACCGGGTCAATGCACACGCGCCCGTCGTGAATTTAAGCCACCGGGTCCGGAACTCAAACTGCAGTTGACTACATGGGAATTCAGCGACATAGCCATTACACTAACTGCTGGTCCCTTAGAAAATGTAATTTCTAAAAATCTATTTTTAGTTGCATCCAAAAAGCCATAGAAGACATGTAAGAACACTACACAAAATACTACAAAATACAAAATACACAAAATATCCCTAAAAGAAATTAAAGACTAATGGTTTGATAAGCCATACTTATGGATTGGAAGAGTTATTGATGTCAAGATATTATTTCTTGGGGGAACCAGCAGTTAGTGTAATGGCTATGTCGCTGAACTCCCACGTAGTCAACCGCAGTTCATGTCCCGGACCCGGTGGCTTAAAACTCACGCCGGACACATGTGCACGCGTGCCCAAGATCCCGAGAGGAGAATGGAGGAGAAGGGACTGCGGCGTGACCATCCCCCCTGTGGGGTGATTTCTCGCTTTCTGTCTCTATGTCTCTCTCTGTCTGGCGAGCACATGCGCCCTATAGCAAAAAATCTCCCCCCCCCAAAAAAAAAATAAAAAAAAAGATATTAGTTCTTGGGACCAGCAGTTAGCGTAATGGCTATGGAGGAGAGGGGATTGTGGTGTGGCCATTTCTCCTGGGGGGTGATTTCTCACTTTCTGTCTCTTTGTCTTTTTGGCGAGTGCACGCGCCCGACAGCAAACACCTCTCTAAAAAAAAACAAAACAAACAAACAAAAAAAACACAAAAGATATTAGTTCTCCACAAATGATGTATAGATTCAATATAACTCCAACCAAAATCCAACTTTTTTGAATAGAAATTCCCAAATTCACTATAAAATTTATATTAAATGCAAATGATTTAAAATAGTCAAAGCACTTTTACAAATTGCACTATATAGTATCAAAATTTACTATAAAGCTACTATAATAAAGACTAGTACTGGTAGTAAAAAACAAACATACAGATCAATGGAAGAAAACAGAGTCCAGAACTAGAGACAGTTGACCCATGAACATAGTCAACTGATTTTCAGCAAAGGTACCAAAGGAATACAATGGGAAAAGCAGTCTTTCTCAAGAAAGAGTACTGAAGCAACTATGCATCCATATGGAAGTTAAAAAGTGAACTTCACCCTTTACTTCACACAGTACATAAAATTTAGCTCAAAATGGATCATAGACCTAAATATTAAAGCTAAAATAAAAACTACTAGAAGAAAATATTTGTAACTTGATAGTAGCATGAATTTTTTAGACATTGTACAAGAAATACTAGCCAAGAAAAATTAACAAATTGGACTTCATGAAAATTAAAAACTTTGGCTTTACAAAAGATAGCAGTAGAAAATCAAAAGGAAGCCTTAATTGGCATACACACACACACACACACACACACACACACACACACATAAATATAAATAATAATTTAAGATTGTAAAGAGAACTCTTATCACTCACTAGTAAAAAGATAACCCAAGAATACTTGGGCAAAAGATATGACCAAACAATTCATTAGATATATTTATGGGCAACATTAGCTTATGAAATGATGCTCAACATTATTAGTCATCACAGAAATGTCTATTAAAATCACAGTACAATCATTAGAATGACTAAAATTAAAAATACTATGATAGGAGCCAGCAGGTGGCATGGTGGTTAAGGTTCTGGACTCCCACATGGTCAACTGCAGTTCAAGTCCTAAACCCGCCAGCTTGAAAGTCGTGCCAGGCATGTGTGTGTATGTTCTCAAAAATCCCAAGAGGAGAATGGAGGACAAGGAATTGCAGCATGGCCATCCCTTCTGGGAGTTGTTTTCTCTCTCTCCCTCTCTCTTTTTCTCTCGCATGAGTGCATGTGCCCTGTGGCAAAAACTTAATAAAAAAAAAAAACCACACAAAACCTAATAATACCAAGATCTGACAATGACATAGAACAACTAGAACTCTTACGCACTGTTAGAGAGAATGTAAAATCCCTGGGGCCAGCAAGTAGAGTAGAGGTTAAGGCCCTAGATCCTACATGGCTAACAGCACAGTTTGAGTCCCAGACCCAATGGCTTAGAAATTATGCCTGGCATATGTGCACGGTGTCTAAAACCCTGAGAGGAGACTAGAGGAGATGGGACTATGGGATGGCCATTGCTCTAGGGGGATTTCCCACTTTCTCTCTCTGGCGAGTGCACATACTCTTTAGCAACAATAATAACAAAAAAGAGAGAGAGAATGGGATTTTATCCCTCTGGAAAACTGTTTGGCAGTTTCCTACGAAGTTAAACATATACTGATTAGATGACTCAGTTCTATTCTTGGGAAGTCACCCAAAAGAAATGAAAACATATATCTAAACAAGTTCTGTGCATGAAAACTTTATAGCAGCTTTGCTTGTTATAGTCAAAAACTGGAAACCACCAAAATATCCATCACCAGGTAAACAGAATGCTTATCTACTCACAGTGGATACTGTTCAATGGAATGTTATTCAGTAATTAAAGGAACACTCTATATGTGCAACTATATGGATGAATTTTTAAAATTCTTCTGTTGAGCAAAATAAGCTAGACATAACAATATATATTGTATGATTTCACTTAGCTTAAATGCAACCTAATCTAAAATGATAAAGATCAGATTATGTTTGGAACCAGGAGTGGAGAGAAGAATGGATTATAGAGACACAATCTTTTGAGGTAATGGAAATGTTATATGTCTCGATAGTGGTGATGGTTTTTATGGGTGTATGCAACTGTCAGAAATTGTCACATTCTACAATTTATATTTCACTTTATGTAAATAATTCTTTCATAACAATACTACCTGATCAAATATAATAAAATAGTCTCACCAAAATACAGTAAAACCAGAAGTATTTTTAAAAACAGTTCTCAAAAGGAAGACATTTAAAATGTAACTATTTAGGAAAGAGGAATGATATAAACACAAAATATTAGAATTTATATGAGACAGTAGAAGATAAACTCAGGAAAATTAATAGCCCTTAATAATTTCATTATTGAATAAGAGAGAATAAAGTGAATAATTTAAGCTCTCATGCAGTACAGAGACCAAAATAAGAAAATTAGAAGGAAAATATTAGTAAATAGAAGCAAAAAATAGAGTTGGAAAAGAGAAGAATAATACTAACATAAATCGGTAAGCTGGGTTATTACAAACAAATAAGCCTGATAAACTATTTTTAAAGAGATTAGTTTGGGACTGGCAGGTGGCATGGTGGTTAAGGGTGCTGGACTCCCACATGGTCAACCATGGTTCAACTCCTGGACCTGGTGGCTAGCTTTCTCACTTTTCCTATCTCTCTTTGTCCCTCTCTAGTCAAATTAAAATAAATAAATGAATAAATAAATACATAAAGTTAAATAAAATAATTAAAAAAAAAGAATAGCTATTGGGGACTGGTAGATGGCATAATGATTACATTGCTGGGCTCCCAAATAGTCAACTGAGGTTTGAGTACTGGACCCAGAGGGTTAAAACTCACACTCGGCACATGTCCATGCATTTCCAAAATCCTGAGAGGAGAATGGAGGAGAAGGGATTATGGTGAGGCCATCGCCCCTGGGGGGGGGCGGTGATTTCTCACTTTCTATCTGTGTCTCTGGCAAGCACATGCACCCTGTAGCAAAAATATCTCTCTAAAAAAATTATATATATATATATATATGTATCGTTACATAAAATAAGAAAACTGAAAACCACTATAGATATAAAAGAGGTAAAAAAGAATGATAGGAGATTAACTTTGCTCAAATTCCTGAAAGTAAATCTGATAACCTATAAATAAAAGGGGAATTATCTAGAAAAATAAAAATGTTTAACATTTAACCAAAGACATAAGCTGGAAAGAGACCAATTACCATGGAGGGCACTGAGACAGTTATCCAAAGTCTACTTCCTCACAAAGGCATCAGGCTTTATCCCTAAAATTCCTTTTTTTCTTTCTTTTTTTTTTTGAGAGGTTTTTGCTATAGGGCACGTGTGCTTGCCAGAGACAGACAGAAAGTGAGAGATCACCCCCCGCGGGGATGGCCACACCACCGTCCCTTCTTCTCTTGGAGATTATACACACACACACACACACACACACACACACACACACACGCATGCCTGGCTTGAGTTTTAGCCACCAGGTCTGGGACTCAAACCGCAGTCGGCTACATGGGAGTCCAGCGACATAGCCATTACACCAACTGCTGGTCCCTATCCCTAAAATTCTTAAGACCAATGATCTCATTAATTCACGCCTCTAAATCAGATTTTTTTGGTAAGCCTCTGTCTCCCAATCCAATTGCATGGTGCATTTCTTCACTTGGAAATCCCCCCATCTCATAAAAATAAATTTCTTGTGTCCCCAAATTCTACCAATTTCTTTTTTCTGATGTTTGTATTAAATGCTATCACTCCAGTTATTCAGCCCTGAAAATGCTTTCTTTGTTCTTTGTTGGTTTATACACCTCTGAATAATTCCATGAATTTGGAAGAATGTTCTACTCAAAGCAGAAATTCAGTGACTCCTGGTAACAAGAGTAACTGAATGAATAAAAAAACATCATTCCTTCAATCTAAAAGGGATGGATAAGTAGGAGAAAAGAAGTCTAGATTTTAAAAAATGGAATGAGGCAACTTGTGTAAAACCAAAAAACAAGGACAAAGAGAAGCTATGACATTTGGACCCAAAGAATAGGAAAATGGGGGGAACCAGCAGTTAGCGTAATGGCTATGTCACTGGACTCCCACGTAGTCGACCGCGGTTCATGTCCCAGACCCGGTGGCTTAAAACTCACGCCGGGCGCGTGTGCGTGCGTGCCCAAGATCCCGAGAGGAGAATGGAGGAGAAGGGATTGCGGCATGACCATCCCCCCTGGGGGGTGATTTCTCGCTTTCTGTCTCTATGTCTCTCTCTGTCTGTCTGGCGAGTGCATGCGCCCTACAGTGAAGAACTCTCCAAAAAAAAAAAAAAAGAATAGGAAAATGGGGTATCGGAGAGGATAATATCTTATGAAAGCATACATAGAAGAGAATTCACTGGGGAGCTCATGCTTAAGAGCCTCAGTGTTTCTTCCCAAGCTTTGAGCCTTTAAGAAGAGTTAACCAGGAAACATTGACTTTAAGCTGGAACCTTTCAGAATAGCTAAACTTTTCCTTGACAATGGCTCTGACCTCCTTGATTCTCTCTCACTCACCAGGGCACGTGACTTTGGTTCCCTCCTTCTTCACCATCCAGGGCTCTTTTCCTTGCTCCAACAATGAGATCACATCTGGCTTAGAGACAGAAACTCCTGCTTATGAGAAAGAAAAGGGAAATTAGCCAGGCCTATAAATCAGATCAAGTTCTTTGGACATTAAGGAGGTGGGGAGATGATAGGAAGAAGCTGAGGAAGAGCTAAGTGTTCTGAAGAATGGGGAAGGTGAAGATGCAGAAATAGTGAAAAGAAGCTGCTAATTCTATAAAACTCAACTGATTTGGGGAAGCACCAGAAAAAAATTTAGTGAAGCATATCAGAGGTTTCCCAAACATTACACCAGAACACAGTGCTATGTGCACATTCTCATTTATGGAGACAATTTCTTACCCAGCGATACAAGGCTCTTATAGTTCTCCAACATCACCTTTCTGTACAGACTCCTCTGAGAAGGGTTCAGCCATTCCCACTCCTCTTGAGTGAAATTTATAGCCACATCCCCAAATGTCACCAAATCCTGAAACGACATAAACATACTCTTGCTCAAGTAGTTCACACCCTCACAGGAGCCGAGGCTAAAAAGTTAAATTATCTATTACAGATAGCAAAAATTTCTGGCAGTGTCTTAGATTCTGAGCAATGCATGTTAAGTTAGACAACTTTTCTGTGCTTAGTTTTAATATTCTGTCATGAAAAGTGTATGGTTTTCAGAGAGAATCTCTACTGGAAGAGAAAATATCTATGATACAATCACACAAAATTGGGCAGTACAGCACTGTGAACAATCAACTATAAGATAATATGTTATTCATATTAAAGGGCAGAGCATTTCTCAGTATGGAGAAATGAGGATAACAGGGAGAGCACAAAAGGACTTCAAGGAGGAAGCAGGTCATGAGGTAAGCCCTACAGGATGTACTTGGTCTAAACTGGCATTCTTCCACTTACACATACAATAAAATGATCAATGTTCTAGAGATATCAGTAGGATTATACACAAACACATGTAAGTATATTTGATGCTTATCATTGATTTTCTAAAATTAAACATATATGTAATAGAAATAGTAAACAAGTTTTGTAGTGATTTTGCAAAAACATGACTTGATATATACTGTAACAGAACAGTCAGAAAGTGGAGAGATACATTACCTGATTTGTGTTGGATGGTAAAGACAACCCTTGCCAACCAGCTGTCAAAATGATGTAAGGGCCAACAGGTGGCATGGGGGTTAAGGATGCAGGACTCCCACATGGCTGACTGTGGTTTGAGTCCTGGACCTGGCAGCGTGCTCTCATTCTGTTCCTCTCTGATCAAATTTAAAATAAAGTTGGGACCAGCAGTTAGTGTAATGGCTATGTCACTGGACTCCCATGTAGTTGATCACAGTTTGAGACCCGGACCTGGTGGCTTAAACTCATGCTGGGCGTGTGTGTGTGTGTACCCAAGATCCTGAGAGGAGAAAGGAGGAGAAGGGATTGCAGTGTGGCCATCCCCCATGCGGGGGAGGGGTGATTTCTCGCTTTCTGTCTCTCTGTCTCTGTCTTTCTGGCGAAAGCACGTGCCCCATAGCAAAAATCTCTCCCTAAATAAATAAATAAAGTTAAATATAAAATAATTCTTTTCTTAAAATAATTATTTATTTAAATTCCATTTGCCATTATTTTTTAATTCAACCAGAGAGAAAGAGAGAGAAAGGGAAAGCAAGAAACCAAGCCACCAGGTCCAGAACCCAAACCGCAGTCAGCCATGTGGGAATCCAGTGCCTTTAACTACCACGCCACCTGCCAGCCCCAATAACATAATTCTTTTGAAAAAATGATGTATGTCATCTCACTAATGATATATATCTTGCATATTATAGTAATATTACATACATGTTTATGTTCTATATATTACACACCTCACAACTGCAACTTGAGTGTTGTGTTTGTTGTATATTAAAACATTCACTGTATACAAGCTGCTTCCCCTTGAATGGCTTAAATGAATGGAAGGTATTCAAAAGGTATCTGAATAGAAACAATGAAAAAGTGTGAATTATAATACATGTGTTTTGGTTTTTGTTCATGGTTCCTGGCTCATAACTATGTGGCCTTTTGTTCTTGGTTCCTGAAGCTCCCCAAGGCAGGCTGTAGAAAGTAGAATTTATCTTCCCCAAGTTCGGTCATAGAAACTCCCTTGAGAAATTCTTTGACCTATCTTATCATAAACCATAAGAACCCCATTTTAGAATGGGTTTTGTCTCATACCCAGGAGGAAGGAGGTTTTGCCCCATATCTACAGAAGGGCCAAGAATTTGAACAGACAGGCCTTGCTGGGGTTTTCTACTGTCTTATTCTTTTTTAATTAATGATTCTTTTCTTAAAAGAATTATTTATTTATTCATTCATTTATTTTAATTTGACCACACACACACACACACACACAGATAGTGAGAGAAAACTAAAGTGGGAAAGGAGGCCACCAGGTCCAGGACTCAAACTGTGGTCAGCCATGTGGGGGTGTCCAGTGCCTTAACCACCATGCCACCTTGCTGGTACCCTCTACTGTCTGTTACCACAAGTTCCTATTCTCTTATCCATTCACATTTCCACAGGGTTATCCCTGCTTCAATCATGTCAATGGAACAAAAATCTCAAAAAAAGGGACCAGCAGTTAGCATAATGGCTATGTTGCTGGACTCTCACATAGTTGAACACGGTTCGAGTCTCAGACCTGGTGACTTAAACTCACACTGGGCGTGTGTGTCCAAGATCCCAAGAGGAGAATGGAGGAGAAGGGATTGCGGCGTGACCATCCCCCCTGGGGGGTGATTTCTCGCTTTCTGTCTCTATGTCTCTCTCTGTCTGTCTGGCGAGCACACGCGCCCTACAGTGAAAATCTCTCAAAAAAAAAATTAATAACAAATAAACAGTTTTTAAAGGAGAGCTGCTCCTGGTACAGTAATAATGTGCTGCTCAAGAGAATGTGTCATGGCAATTGTGGTTTGACTCCCAGGCCCAATCAGCCTGAAACATGCTCAGAACACACACAAGGCCCAACATCTGATAGACTGCAAAACTGAAGGAAGGGAAGTGTGACATAACCAGGCCATGTGGAAAGTGTTCATCTCTCTCTCTCTCTCTCTCTCACATACACATCTATCTATCCTATTACAAGGATTTTTTTTTAAAAAAAAGACCTTAAACCAAAAGGACCGAGTTTGGAGAGCTGGACAGCTGAGTACATGGAGGTTTGCAGGAAGGTGAATACTAATTCAACCACATACAGGGAGAATGGCACACGCAAACACTGTAGGGACAGAAGCACCTGCCCTGGGGGCTCTTCCAAATCTTATCCGATGTATCTCTATATCTGGCTATTTTCATCCTTCAAAATGTTCTTTATAATCAGTAAATGTAATCAAGTGTTTCCTTGAGTTCTCTGAGCTCTAGAAAATTAATTGAACTCACAAAGGAGGAAACCCTGACTTGTATGTGATTGACTAAAAATTCTGGAGGCCTCAACTTGCTAGTAGTGTCCAGGGTAGAGATGGCCTTGAGACTGAGATTGACACTATATCCAGGTGGCCAGCTGCAGTACTGAATTCGATTAAAGGATGCTCACCTAGTGCCTCCTGCAGAACTGACTGCTTGCTTGCTCGTGGGGAGAAATCCCCACACATTATGGGAATCACAGAAGTGAATTATGTTATGACCATATAGTAGGTGAAACTGAGAATGAGGAGAAATGGAATTTTTGTTTTTGCTACTCAGCTGGAACACACCAAATGTAGTTGATCAATGACTTTGGCTTGTAATATCTGAATAGGAGTGGTAATATTAAAATAAATGTCTGAATCTATATGACCAACACCCAAATAAGAAGTTTAGAAAGTACAATAAAAGTTACTTGGTTTGGGGTAAATTTCCTTTGGAAATAAAAATTGGAGCCAGAAGATGGCATAGCGTTTACGTCACTGGACTCCAACATGGCTGATCGCAGTTTGAGTCTCGGACATGGTGGCTTGAAACTCGTGCCAGGCATGTATGTATGTATGCATGTCCAGATCCCAGGAGAATGGATGCAGGGAGCGCCTGCAAGTGGATTCAGTCTTTGTGCTTACTCTGCAGGGCACATGAAAGCACTAAAGAAAGGCGTAATCTACTGCTGGACAGTATTAACTGGATTGGATCTAGTTGTCTGACTAGGTCAGAGAGAAACTAGCAGTAACCTGGGCATCAGCCAGAGAAGGCCAGGAGAGGCTTGTTTAGAGCCACGAGGTGCTCCACAGCTGAAGCACTCAGCTTTATCCTCCCTATAAAAGAATGAGCATTAAACAGCCCCCACTTTTGTCCTGTCCTTTCTTAATCCATAGCCCTCCCCCTCAAGGTACCTTATCTCTTTGCCCTCAGGCCAGGGAAAATGGAGAGGGATTGTGGGCATGGCCATCTACCCTGGGGGGGTGATTTCTCACTTTGTCTCTCACTATCTCTTTATCTTTCTCCTACAAGTTCATGCACCCTAAGGCAAAAACCTCTCAAAAAAAATTGTTCTGAGACTCAGTATGTAAAGTGCAATAAAAGATTATCTAACAACTTTGTTTTCTTAAGAATTATCTATTCATTCAATTATTTTAATTTGACCAGAGAAGGATGCAGAGAGTAACAGAAGGAAAGTGAGAAAGCAAGCCACCAGGTCTAGGACTCGAACCTTAGTCAGCCATGTGGGAGTGTCCAGAGCCTTACCACTACACTACCTGCTGGTCTCTCTAACAGCTGTTAATAAAACCACTAAGCTCCAAAGGTAGTTGGTAACTTATCATGCTACCTAAAAGACAACATAATAGTAATTTTAAACACTATTACTTAATAGTAAATATTTCCAAATCTGATAATAAAGTACATCAACAAATACCTATAGCTCTCACTAGAGGAATGTATGTAATTGTGCATGTCTAAAGAGCAAGAGCATTTTTGTTTGTTTTTTAACATTTTATTTTTGTTTGTTTGTTTTTGTCATAGGGTACGTGTGCTTGTCAGAGAGACAGAGACAGTGAGAGGGAAAGTGAGAAACCACTCCCCTCCACCAAGGAAATGGCCACTTCCCAAACCTTTTTTCTCCATTCTCTTAAGACTCTGGACATGCACCCAGCACAATTTTAAAGCTGCCAGGTCCAGGGCTCAAACCATGGTTGGCCATGTGGAAGTCCAGTGCTGTCACCACTAGGCCACCTGCTGGCCCAAGGGAGTTTTTACAATATTACAATACATGGGGCTGGCAGATGGCATGGTTGGTTAAGGGCACTGGACTCCTACTTGACCGAACACAGTTTGAGTCTTGGACTTGGCAGCTTGCTTCCTCACGTGCCTACCACCCCTGTCCTTCCTTGACCAAATTTAAATAAATAAATAAAGTTAAAATAATTCTTTTTAAAAAAGTATACAGCTCTCAAATAATGCCACTACAATGTTGACTTAAGGCTCTTTATGATAACATGAAAGAAGACTTAAGTTTGTTTTCTAAAAATTCAT